CCAGAATGATTAAGTAACTTGCCCAGGGTCACACAGGCTAGTCAGCAGCACAGCCAGAATGCCAGTGTTACCCAAGCTGGCCCGTACCCCTCAGGCCTTCAGCAGCCACCTGCTGAGTGATAGAGGTCAGCACTGACCACTGCAGCACCCACCAGCCCCATCCTTCCCGCCAGCTGTTTGAAAAGGGCCCTGGAGTTGGAGCTTTTCTCTGAGGAGGGCCAGCCTGAGGCTCCCTGGGAAGCACGAAACGGTTTGGTGGGAGTCAAGATGTCAGCAATTCTGCGGTCATAGCGGGCTGTTGAGGCCGCAAAGCACTACATCGCATGATCTTTCCCAGCTCTGCAGAGCTAAAGAGAAGTCTCTGCATTTTGTTTTGTTTTCCTCAGAAGCCTGGGCACATGGTACCAAGAAAAGGAGGAGGTGGTGGTTTACCGTGAGTGGTGTGATCTTCAGAAGTTTAGCTGGGCGGGTCTTGGCAGAGAAGCCAAGGCACACAAGAGCCTGAGGAAGTCTCATGGAGACAGGATGTGCTTGGGAATCTGTGAAATAGGCCTCGTTTGTCTTCTCAACTCCTCTGAGTCCCCTTCAGTCTAAGACCTCCTTCCTTTCTCACCGGACCGCCAGCAGGGAGGTTTGGTCTGGAGCCCCTTCCTTGGGCCTCCCCAGGCCTCAGCGTTCCTAGCCTGGCCCCTCCCAGGACATTAAAACTTACTTAAGATGTTAATAGGTGATAATGACACCTCCCAGGGCTTGGGACCCAGGAGGTAGTTAAGGGTGGGACTTTCAGGCACCAAATGGAGGTGGCCTTTTGGCCCGCCTCAAGTCACCCAGGGAGATAACTCCTTTTATTTCCAGCGTCTTCTGTAGTACGGAGATTTCTTTTCATCCGTTGTGAAAACCCTCTTGTTTTGTGGAGAGGAAGGAGCTTGCAGCTCAGTGAGGCACAGGGGCCATCAGACCAGTGAGAGGTGGGAAGAAAATGAGGCAATCAAGCCTCTTGTCAGCTTCCTGCCAAGGCAAGTCCCTTTGTTCACCCTGAGCCTGGCCCTTCGGCCACGACATGACCGAGGCCCTTGGGTCAGGAGGCTTGCCCCCTTTATGGCCTTCTAATAGACCTTCCTTCCTGCCACTTGACCAAATGCCCCTGTTTGCTGGGGAGGGGGCAGCCCTATAGCTCTCCCGTTGGCTTACCCAGTGACCCCTCCCCCTGGCCTCACCTCATGTAGAAGCTAGCACCTGGGGCTAGTAGGGGGAGGATGTGCCTGTGTTCCCACTGGTTCTCCTGTCTGAAAGGACAGGAAGGTTCCCTGACTCCCCAGCCCTAAGGAGGTGCTCTCCTAGCCTTTCTCTTTGTTGTTTGGTTATCTATCTGTTCACATCCATTCATGATTTCTCCATGCTGTATGTTTTAAGCTCTACCATCATTTTGTTGGGACAGGTTGACCCAGGTTTCTATAACGCAGAAATGGTGTCAGTAGTTTTCAGGAGCCACGGGGACACACACAGACACACAGACACACAGACCCAACAATGCCTTTAGCTCATCCTGACCTTCCTGTTTCTTTGACTGAATTTACCCCCTGCCATGCTCCTTGAATCTTTCCCTCTTTTTTCTGTCCTTTGCCACACTCCAGATAAGGGTCTACTTGGCTAACCTCTGACCTGTCTCCTGCCTTTCTAATCCATCCTATGAATGGCTAGCACATTCATTTCCCTAATAACAATTGCTACCTATATTGAGCACTTAGTAAATTACAGCTAACGTTTAGTGACATGTCCTGTGAGTCTAGATGTCTGCTAGAAACTTTCTTTAAGCTGTCAGCGTCACCTTGTTTTGCAGTTGAGGAAACAGGCAGGTTGAATAATTTGCCCAGTGACACGGCTAATAAGTGGCAGAGCTAGAATTTGAATGCAATCAGCCCGAGGAGTCTGCTCTCCTCGCCACCATTCACATGGAATGTAGAGATAGTTCCCCTAAGTGCTTATGAGGAGGACAGCACTAGGCTAGGCACTGAGGGCATTTATGTGTGAGCAGGATGCAACCTGCTTCCTCTTGCAGTTCCTATCAAGAAGTTGACGACAGATAGGAAGGGTCGCCTGGGAAGATGGGTAAGACGAAACAAGACATGACTGACTGCAGGAGAGGGCAGAGTACGTGCGGAAGAGAAGATACACACACAGAGGGCCTTTCATACAGAGGATGGAGAAGCCACATCCGGGTGGGAGACTCAGGAAGTCAGGAAGAGTTCCAGGGAGGCGGTTGGGTGGGGGATGGTTTGGGAGGACACATAGGCTTTATGGCCAGGTCCTGGGGGTGATGAAAGGCTAGATTGGATCAGAGAGGGTGGGTCTGATGCCTGAAAACTGCAGACTGAAGGCAAGAGAATCAGATCTGAGGTAAAAACACCCTGACAGTAAGACGCATCCCTGAGCACAAAACATAGATATTTCAGACAATGGGCTCTGGACTGCCTGGGTTTCAGTTTCTGTTCTAGCACTTACCAGCACTATAATCAAGACAAATAACATAACCCATCCCTCGTGTATCAGTTTCCTTATCTGAAAAGTGGGCGTAATTCAGGGCTAGGACCAAGGTGAGGTGGGAAAGGCACTAGCCTTGAGTACAAAATTTAAGGGGTATCCCCCCAAAAAACGCAGTGATCAAGATAAATAATAATTAAATGCCGTATGTCTACAGAATCAAAATCTGCAAAAAAACACAAAAAAACAAACAAACAAACAAAAACAAGCAAAAACCACCATGAATGAAATAGTAAGAATTTAAATAAAGAAGGGCCATACTGAGCCATATTGAAGCCTAAGGCAAAAGGAAAAAATCAGTAATACCAATCCTGCTTTTAGTTAAGATAAAGGGATCCTGTTTTTAGTTAAGATAAAGGTACTTGCTGCCTCACCTAGTCCTGGCCCTGATAATACTAGATAAGGATTAAATGAACTAACTGGTGGTATTTGGCAGGGTGTCTGGCAACGGCACCTCATAGAGTCTAGGGGTCTGAGGCTTGCACTTGGGATGAGGTGGAGCTGTGTGAACACCTGCTTTGCCACTTCCCAGCTGTGAGACCTGGGCGAGAACCTGTTTTCTATCTCCATCTTGCTCATTGGCTGTTTGATAGCCAAGGAAGAAAGATGCAAAGTGCTTCACGCAGTGCCAGCACATAGAGTTACCTGTAGCAGTTACCTGTTTGCCAACAGCATACCTGCACATGAGGTTTTCTGGTTGTTCCTGGTGAAGTATTATGTTTGTTGGCTCTTTAAAATTTTCAAATTTTTTTTACAAAAAACTATTTTTCATTTCATTAGACACCAGGGTGAGGGATTTAGCTTTATTCCATGATCCTCGTGTCACAGTCTTCTTTGAGGACTCCCGGAGCTCTGCTTGCTTTGACTGCAGCCTCGTCTGCCCCTGCCCCTTCTCTGACCAGGCTGGGATGGCTTCTTTGATGATGTCACTTGAATGAAAGGGGCCTTTGCCTGGCCATTCCTGGTTCTTACTCTCCCCTTCCTCGCTGCTCCCCACCTGCCCTTCCAGTGGGAACACTGCCTCTTGGGTGCTGGCAGCCCACTTTGATTACTCATGTCACCTACCTGTGTGGTACAGTTGAAGGGGCTCTTTGCTAGTGCTTAGACTGAACCACTGTTATTAAATGACCATTGTCATGAAAGGGACCCTTTAAAAATCCATTCCTGCCACTGTCCACAGTGGGGGCTCAGTAGGTCCTTGAGTGTTGCCTCCGGGACCAGCAGAGCCATTTCTCACTCATCGTGTGACCTCCAGGGCTGCCTCAGAAATGTGGCCAGGAGCCTAGACAGGAAAGTAGCATGGCGCCTCCTCCACACTATACCTGTTCCCAAAGGTAGGCCAGCCTGGGCTAGGATCCGGGCTCCACTTCTCACTGGTTGTGTAACTCTGAGCAAATCACTGGATATCTCCAGCCTCAGTTTCCTCACCTGCAAAATGGTGCTGATCTCAGGGGCCTGCTGTGAGGACTGACTGGGAAATCAATGCTCACACCTGTTAGTTATTTATATTCACTCATTTGGTTAGAACATGAATTAATTCATTCCCTCATGCAACAGACGCATACTGGGCAGGTACTATGGGCAATGTAACTTTCTAGGTTGTATGTGGAGATAGAAAGATAATATATTTACAATGCCTGCACCTAACCAGTGTTCAAATGGAGGAGGAACAAGGTATGAGCAAAAGGCTGTACAGCAAGGTAGACTTGTGAAGTATCTGAGAGTAGGCACTCCATACGTGTTTGTTAAATGAATCATAGAAAACTAGGCAGACGTTAACATGTAGGAGCTATTTCCATGGGGCAATCAGGAAGAGGCTGAATTTAAGCTGGTTAGCATAGTTATTAAAAGACCTTTTCAGTAGGCACTAGAGATACAGCAATATATATGACAGGTACTACCCACACCTTAAAGACTTTTACACTTTAACTGGGAAGACAAATATTAGTAAATACTTAGGAATAACTAATTAATCACCACAAGTATAAGAGGGGCTAGGGGACCATCAACTCCAGGAAGACAGGAACTGTTCACTGGATTTTTCTTTTCTGCTCTACTGATAAGCTAGACCTAAAGGAAAAAAGGTTTTTAAATGTATAGATAAATTTTACACTTTATGTCATTTTTGCATAGGAGTTACTGGATTGTAAGGTACAAAATTTTAAAAATTATAAAAGTGAAAAGTCTTCCCAGAGGTGATACCACACAGCCTCGGGTGTGGTCCCAGAGCCAGTCTAGCCAGCCAAAGACACTCATGAGTAATTACATAAGCGGGGTCATGCCATCCTCACCGAGTAGCATTGTTTTTTGTCTTGGAGATTGTTTCATATTGGTTCATAATTTTTATAGCTGCATAGTACTCCACTCTATCACGATGCTTTAAATCAATAGCCTATTGGTCGACACATAGTTTTCTTTTTTCAATGAATAGACTTTATTTTTAAAGCAGTTTTAGATTTACAGAAAAATGAGTGGAAAGTAGAGAGCTCCCATACTATCCCTTTCTCCACCAATTTCCTGTTATTAACATGCATAGTACAATTCTTTACAGTTGATGAGCCAATATTGATACGTTAGCTAAAGTCCCTGGTTTACATTAGGGTTCACTCTGTTGGACATTCTGTGGGATTTGACAAATGGATCACACATGAATCCACTATCATGGGACTGCACAGAATAGTGTCACTGCCCTACAAGTCCGCTGTGCGCTACCTCTTCACCCCTCTCTTACTCCCCCTGAACCCCTGGCAGTTTTTTTTTCTAATCAAAGTTATTTGTAGCACAACTTTCAGAGCCTGTATAACCCCCCTGGCAACCCTCCCTTATCGCCTTGCCTCCTGCCGGTACTGGAGTCACACTACACTGCTCCCGCTCTCTGAAACATGGCAGGCAGTCCCCACCTGGCCTGCACTTCGGGGCTGCTCCTCTCGCAGGGTACACTCAGATGTCACCTCTCTGAAGCCTTTCACATCCAATCTACTCCCCCAACAGAGCCTCAGTCCCCTCCTCTGTGTGATTCTTATGTTAATTCAATCCTCCGGGCAACAGGTACTTAGGGAGCATGTGCCAAGCAGGATGCTGGTGGTCAGGGTCCAGTGGGGACACATGGCTGTGGAGCCCGACCCCAGCAGTTTGCAAGTTCTTGAAGGAAACAAAACCAAATAATGCGATGAAAGATGTAAGCATTGTCAGGGATGGGCTCAGAGGAGCTGACATTTAAGAAGGGATTGGTGGGGAGAGTACTCAAGGGGGAAGAAACAGCAAGTACAAAGTCAGCATTTTATGCAAACCTGGAGGAGCACTTATCGTTCCTCTTGTGGCCGCCTCTCTTACTCTTGGAAGGAAGCAGGCAGTCCTTAGGCACGAGTTGTCCTAAGCACGCTCAATGACCAACCTGGTGTCAGGGACCCAGGGGAGAACAGGGGGACTGGCCAGGCCTGTGTCTGAGCCTCTGTGCTTCCCTGCGCACACACTCCCCACCATCGGGCCGCTGGTGGCTTTGTTTGATGGGAGCATCTGAGCCCTTGATACCAAACTCCAATTACCTGCAAGAAGGCTAGTGCCTCTTTAAACAGTTCAAAAGCTCCAGACTCTTTATAAATGGCTCACATCCTTTCACCACCCTTAAGATGGCGATTTATGGCCCACTCCCCCAAAGGCAGATAGACCAACAGACAGGTTACTTCCCTTGGAGTCCAGGTTCCTACAATTGTGGGATGCTCCCACTTCCTCTTTGCATTTTATGACCTCCTGGCTGGCTAATCCTGAAATGGGTTACACAGGAAGGAGGTGAATTGTGCGGGGCTGCAGCTGCCTCAGGAGCCAGAGGCCAGGCCAGACTCAGGAAAGGGCTGGTGGGCAGTGGGGAGGTTCCCAGGGCCTTTCCCCAGCAAGACTCCCAACGTGGAAGCCTCAGCATGACTGGTCTCTGTGGAGTCTGCCACTGAGAGATAGACAAGAGGTGAAAATAACTTCAGTTCATAATCTCGTAATCTAGTGGGGCAGTGTGATAAGATTAACAAGAAGCCACTGGTCACGCAAAACTGTCACTCTTTGATTTTTAGAGCTCACACATATTCCTGGTTGCCTTTCATTTAGTTTTGACAGAACTCTAGTAAAGTAGTTCTTATGACATCCTTATGACAGATGAGGAAACTGAGGCAGAGACTAGACCAAGTGGCACAGCCGAGAGGTGAGAGGTTCAGGTTCTGATCTTGGCTTCAATTACTGGGTTGAGGCTCAAGGAGGTGCCAACAATGGGAGGTCAGGGAAGGAGGTGGCCTTTGGGATGGGTGGGTCAGCTTTCAAGAGACCACAAGGAGGGGAAGGGCATTCTAGGAAGGGACACAGCACAAGAAAAGGCAAAGATTGTCAAGGGACAATGACACCGGGGTGGACCAGGGCTCAGGGAGGCACAAATCCAGATACTTCTCTGCAGGTCCCTTCCCCTGACCACCAGCCTCTCCTTTCCCACAGCCTTTTCTCCAGCTCCTGACCTCTCACCCAGACAGGCGAGGAGGTCGTCAGGCTGTGACTTCAAATCCCTCTTACCAGCCATGGGAGTCTAGGTAGACGCTTAACCTCTCTGATCCTCCTTTTCCTCGTCTCTAACATGAGCTTGATAACAGCAGGGCTGGGGTGAGCACAGAGCTCAACAGAAATAGCTGATATATTCTTCCTGTGATTGTCACTCCCAGTCAGTGCTTCTCTTTCTCAAGTACAGCTCCTAATGTGTCATTTGCCCTGCTCAAAAAACCTAGACTGTTACTTTAATACTCAAGCCCCCCCTAAGGTCTGGTCCTAAACTCCCCTACAGCCAGACCATCTTCAGGTGGTCTGAAACCCTCAGAGGATGGAGACATATATATTACTTCTCTGTGACACAGTGGAAAGAACACCAGCTTTGGAGTCAGGAGAGCCAGTGTTCAAATCCTGGCTCTTCCAGTGATCTCCGTGTGTGGGGCACCTAACCTCCCAGTCTCAGCAGCCTTACCTGTTAAGGAGGGGGTCTCTCTCCTCTGCTGGCTGCTCTGAGAGGCTGGTACCACAACGTGAGTGGGTACTTCTTCATTGTGTTTCCTCTGCTTCATTTCAACGGATAGTGTATTCATTTCACACCATCTGTGTAAAAGGTGTTCTGCTAAAAACCCATCGAGGGGCTCACAGACAGAACTTCCACAATGACGGCCTTGCATACAGCTTCCCCACCATGTCTGTGTCGCGTCTCCCACCCAAGATGACCAGGCTTCCCGAGCGTAGGCTCCATGTCTGTCTCGTTCACTCCAGGTCCTGGTCTGACAAGTAGTCAGTGCTCAATAAAATGTATTGGGTGAGTGAATTATTGAAGAGAAGCCTTGAACGCTGAGTTCAGTGTCCAGGAGACATGTTTACAGCACGTGCTATGAATCTCAAAGTCCTCTGAAAGGAAATCATGCTCCTAAGAGTATGATGGTGACGTAGAATCAGCAGGTCAGTCACAGCCCTGGGAACCTGGATAGCAAAGATTAAAGAGCACATTTGTAGTAAGGAAAGCGATCCCTTCTGTGAGTAGATCTCCTCAGCTCTGCTCTGGCTCCCTAGGCTCAGGGGTCCTTCTCCCTCTGGGGGAATGAACTAATGTGTTACCATGTTCCTCCCATGTCCTCCGTCCTTGGCACTTTACAGCCATCATCCCTCTTAATCCCAATAACTGTGTGAGAATTATCCCCATTTTACAAATGAGGCAAGTGAGGCATAGAAAAGATAATGGGGTGGTCTTTGAAATCTGAGCCCAAGGTGGGCCCCAAAACCCACGCTCTTTGGACTTTCCAGTACTTCCCGCACTGGCCAGGTTAGCCCACTGCGGCTTTCAAACTGAACATCTACCATTCTTTTCTTGGCACCCATTTCACGGGCTAGCAGGACCACTCTTGATAGACCAGACCAACTCACCAGAGTTTGTTTCCAGGCTTGAACAAGCCCGAACCGCTCCGTGTGCTGGGTGCTGGCAGCGCTCGGCTGTGCACTTCCGACAGTCCCCAAAGCGGGTTGAAACTCAGGGCAAGTGGAAACGTCCCCCAATGTGGTGTTCAGATATGGAATTTCTCTCTCTGTCTCTCTCTCTCTTTCTCTTCCAGTTTTAAAACAGTCAGGAGGATTGGGGCTGCAGTCTGGGCTGGGCTCCTCCAGGCTTGATGATTTATTCATCAGGTGGCTTTGGTCCGTACATTCCTCCACAGGAATTTGTTGTAGAAGGAAGTGAAGATACAAGGAAACCCATGGGGCTCTTGTTCCCCTCCACCCCTCCACCCTCACCCAGAGGTGAACAATGACAACCCTCCAGATCCGCCCTCCACCCCAAGCTGGGTGCCTGATTGCCAAAGAGATAGCATCTGGGCAGCAGGAAACAATTAGCTGCTATTGTGTTATTTAGGCTGGAGCCAGAGGGAGGTTAGGAACTCAGGGTGGGAGATTTGCAAGTTTATTAGCTCTCTTCATCCCTTTTACACACAAGTGTCCACTAATCCCCTTGAGCCCTGGGTTGGCTCAGCCAATAGTAAGGTCAAGTTGAATTGTTTTCCTTCCTTCCTTCCTTCCTTTCTTCCTTCCTTCCTCCCTCCCTTCCTCCCTCCCTCCCTCTCTCTTCCTTCTTGTTTGAATGCTTGCTTAACTACTTACTATTTGGGTGGCAATTTGCTTAACTTGGAAAGCCTCAGTTTCCTTATCTGTTAAATAGCAGAAATTATAGCACTTCCTCTGTTGGTTATGAGGCTTAGATGAGTGAATCCCATTTTAAGTGTTTAACACCAGGCCCAGCACATACAACAGACATACTAAATGGAGGCTTTCACTCTTACTGTTGTTGACTTAGCAGACAGGAATTGCTAACCTACTGTGTGCCACGCTTTGTGTGAGGTGTTAGGTATGGTCCATGCCTTTCCGTGACACCCAGTGAGGAGGAGGAGCTGGCCCAGTTACCACACAGCACGGAAGTGCAATGACAGGTGAAACATAATATTCGGAATTACTATATGCCGGGCAAACTTCGAAGGTCATTAGTTATTTAATCTTGACAACAGTCTCCTGAGGCAGGTACTGTTATTTTCTCCACTTTTTAGAGGAGTGAAGTGACTTGCCCAAGGCCACTCAACTATTGGAGGTGGGATGGGAAGCCAGGCAAACTATACTGGGTGCCAGAGGGGTATACCGGGCCTGCTGGGGCAGGCGAGGCTGCATAGACTGAAGGACGCCTGAGTTGGCTTTGCAGGCCCAGGATGCCAAGGAAGCAAAGCAGGAGTGAGCAGGGGCAGAGGAAACAGCATGTGGGGCCCCTCTGCTTGGGGCTCACCCTGCTGTGGAAGGCTGAGGATTTGACCTGGTTTCCCATGTTTTTAAAATGGGAGTCCCACTTGGTGGTGTGATAACTGAGAGGACTGAACAAAAGCATGTGTAGTATGTAAAGAGCCTCCCACGTGACAGGGTGCAGAGTGCCCAGTACATTCATTCATTCATTCATTCATTCATTCATTCATTCATCCATCCATCCAATGCATTTTTTATTAAGCACCTACCATGAGCCAGGCACCTTCCTGGGCATTGGGAATATTGTGGTAAAGTAGACAGCCTCCTAGCCCTCATAGAGCTTATATCCTGGTGGGCAAGACAGACAATAAACAAGGAAACAAAAAATGGATATGTAACATAAGAGCAAGTGGTGGCGAAATATAAAATAGGCCAAGGGGTGGCCGGAGGTTGAAGGGGGGGACGAATAAGGCCTTTCTGAAGAGATAACAATTAAGCCAAGACTTGAATGGAAGAAATGAGCCGTACAGATATCCAGGCAAAGAGCTTTCTAGACCAAGCGACCAGCCAATGCAAAGGTCCTGAGGCAAAACCTGTGTGGGGTGATGGAAAAGCCTCGAAGTCCATGTGGCAGGAAGGAAGTGAGTAAGAGGAAGGGGAGTCCGAGGAGATACAGTCAGGCCCAGATCACACGGAGCCTTGTGGGCCAGCAGAGCCTTTCGATATTGTTTCAGATGAAATGAGAAGCCACTGGGGAGGGTTTGAGCAGAGGCCTGACTTGAGGTGTGGTGCTAGGTGTTTCTATGGTACATGCCTTCCAGCAACACCCAATCTAGTGGGAAGAGAGGACTCTTAAAAAACTAGTTACAACACAGCGTGGTAAGTGAAATGACAGACGACTAATAACGCCAGGGCTTACTATATGCCAGGCGCTCCTACCTTATTTCACTGAATCCTCGCAACAGCCTCATGAGGCAGCTACTATTATTTTCTCTTTTGTTTCAATAAAGAGACTGAAGTGCAGAAGAGTGAAATAACCTGCCCAAGGCCATTCCGTTGGTAAATGTTTCCAGTGAATTCCTTCTGGCCACTTCCTGGAGAAGCTGTTCACGGTAGGGGTTACAGGAGATGACGGGGGAGACCTGTGAGGAAGCCAGTGAGATAATCCAGATGAGAGAAAAGATGGTGGGTGGCTTGGAGGTTGGTGGCAGCAGTGGAGGTGGTGACAATGGATCAGACTCTGGGTATCTTTGAATGAAACCCAATACGATCTGCTGCTGGATCCGATGTGGGGTGGGAAATAAAGAGAGAAAGCAAGCATGAGCCCAAGGTTTTTGGCCTGACCTACGGGGTAAATTCAGTATTTACTGCGATGGGGAAAGCTGCAGGAAGCGCAGGTTGGCAGAGCAAGTCGAGTTCGGCTTGTTTAAAACATGTAAAAATACACATTTACTGGACGATGAGACTGGCTGCTGACCACCTTCCCACACTCTGATTGTAGTTGAGGGGCATCTGTGGTTAAAATGGTTGGAAAATGCTTGTCAGCCATGGCCTTTTCACACCCTGCCCCACCTCAGGTTTCCAGAGAGAGGGGCCCACTCCTGTCTGATGCTCTCACTTTGTTTTTACACCTTTAACTTGGTTTTGGTGGCTTTGACCTGAACAGAGCAATTTCAACTCAACTTGTACTGGGGTCAAGGGGAGGCATTCCTGCCTTGAACTCTTTCCGTGGTCCCCCCTGGTCCCCGACCCTTAAGCATGTCTGTGTGTATGTGTAGATTATAGTCTTGGTGGCCCTGGGGGAGGTGGAGATGAGTTTGGGGACTGCAAGGCTAGGAAGTGTGAAGTCCGTCCCCCACCTCCCTTGCTTTCTGAGGAAGCCCAGATGATTCAGAGAGATGAGACACTATCTTTAGAGAGGGAAATAGCACGCAGTGGGGAGATCTCTATCTGAGCCATTTGTCTGCTGCCTCCCCCCGCCCCCACTTCCCCATTGAGGGCCTCCCTGGGGCAGGCACCCTCTTCCAGCTCTCGCCATGGAAGGGAGGTGGCGACTGAGTTCTGAAAAACTGACTATGCCACTCATCTCGGTCATGTTTTATGTGGGCAGTTCCTGCAGATTTTTTACTTAATTTTATGGGGGGTGTGCGCATGCACACACCAGGCTCTGCTTAAACTTCAGATTTTTCACTGGGTTTCATCTCAAACATCATTTCCTTAGGGAGGCCTTCCCTGACCACTCCCTGGATCCTTCTCCCCCCGGGTCACCTGACTTATTTTCCTTGTAGCACCCTTCCCTCTCTAAAAATTATCCCGAACATCTTTTTCTTTTCTTTTTTTTTTTTAAAGATTTTTATTGGGGAATTGGGGGGATGGGAACAGTGCTGGGGAATTGGGGGGAGGGGAACAGACAAGTTGCTGTCGTTTTGTTCTTCAGTCTAGTTGTGGAGGATATTGCTTCTCTGGCCCAAGTTGGCACCATCATTGCGCTCTTCCCGGGCGAGGCACATCAGTCGCCGGCTTCTGGACGGCCGCTCACTGCGGCTGCTGGCCGCTCACGCTGGCTGCTGGCTACATATGATAGCCCATGGCCACCCACTGCCACAGGGGCTGCAGCCTATGCCGTTGCCAGCAACTCACAGCAGCCCAGCTCCAGGTTGAGCTGTTGTTCAGCATCTTAGCTGTGGAGGGCAATGTCACTGGCCCTCATATGTGGGATCCGAACCGGGGTCCTCTGGCGTCCCAAGCCAGTTCTTAACCATTGCGCCACTCGGCTGGCCCCCGAACATCTTTTTCTGACGTTGTCCTTGTCCTCCACTCTGGGATGGAAGAGCCGTGATGGTCTCACCATTACTAGCCCCGGAGCCCAGGCCTGTGCCTGGCACGTATGAGACCCTTAGTAAAGGCTGGTGAGAGGGGGTGCTCTCCTGGGGGAGGGCCGGTCAGCAGGCACCACCCGCTCCTCTTTGGGATCTCGGCGTGCTCTGAGAGGGCCCCGAGTTACAATTTTCCTTTTCTGTATGGTGGAACCTTTATCTGTATCAGGCAATGGGGGCTCCTAGGTGAACATTCTGCTCAATTCCCAGCACAAGACCCGGGCGGTGGAGATCTACAGACCGCCCTCCATCAGGAGAGGAAGCCATTCTACCCCTTTTCCCCTCGGGACATCCCAAACCACCCCAGACCTGGAGTGTCTCTCCGGATCTGGGCTCTGTTTGTCTCTTCCCCACCCCCATGCCTCTGTGACTCTCTCTCTCCTATCTGTCCCTCTGTTTCTGTATTTCCATCTCCCCCTCTGTCTTGTCTCTCTCCCTCTCCTTTTGTTCTGTCTTCTTTCATTTGCTGAGTTCCTCCTTCATGGTAAATGCTGTCTGTACCCAGACGCTCGCTGACCCCTGACAAGAGTCCACAGGATATGGGTCATTATTGTGCCTTTTTCAGATGGGGGAATAGATGCTCACTGGTGCGTGGCCCAGCTGGGATTTGAGCCCAGGTTCTCTGATGCTTATGCAATGCTAGGCCGTGGTTCCGACAGAATCTGAATGCTAGCTGATGAGGACATGGTGCTCTCAGGTCCAGTGCTCCAACAGGCTTCTTCTGAACAGCAGTGAGGTGGAGACGAGGCTGGACAGGCCTTGGCTGGGTTGGCTTGGGAGGTCACACACCCTGTCGTTACCTCCATGCACACGCTGCCTCACTGAGTCCTGTCCGATGTGAGAAGTGGGGAGCCCCTTTGGTGTCAGTCCAGGTGCTGCCTGCAGGCCTGTTTGGTGTATTTGTAACCCCAAGGCTAGAGAAACTTGGGGAAGTTAGAACTGGAAGGAAAGAGGCAGCTATAAACTGTCTCCAACAGTTCATCTGTGACAGACGCAAGTGGAAGCCTAACTCCAGCAGATCCCTGTTTGGAAAGAAGTGGTGAGAAGGACAGGAATAAAGCTCTCTTCTCAGGCAACCTAACAGACATACAACGCTTCAAACTTCAACACGGGGGATGGAAAGCCTCGGCTGGGTCAACCTCAACCATGATCTCCCAGACTGCATTTTCAAGAGAAACTCGGGGCAGCCTTGGAAATTGCTACTCTCCAGCTGGCCTGGCATGGAGAAGTTATTGTTAGAGTAGGGGGAAAAAATGTACCTAATGCTTTAGGCCACTGTCCTCACCCACCGAGTGGGCTGGTAACCTTACTTACAAGGCTGGCTTATTCACTCATGGCCACTAAAGCTAGGAGAGGCAGGATGGAGACAGATTCTAACAAATGAGTTATTTATATCTACATCCCAGACCTCAGAAGGAAAATTCCCATACTTAGACATTCCTAGATGGCCTGCGACACAGGATATTTAAAGTAACAATGGGCCAAATTCTTGCTCACATTTTTGGCACGGTTCCAGTCTGAAAGTCCACGAGAGAAACTTGTCCGGCTGCGTAGCTTTAGATGGGGGTGGGCAGGGGAGGCTGTTTCTAATTTGGGACTTATTTAAGATCTGACACCCCACTCCTCCCTGCCCTTCTTCCTGGAATTACAAGGAAAACATGATTTTGATTTTAGAGACAATCTTCCGTGTTATCTACTTTGGAAGATTGTAGGAGTTGTATGTAGCTCAGTGGGTACCCCGCCTTGGAAAAATGGGAGGGATGTTAACTAAACTAAGAGGATACACTTTGAAAAACCCTAGAGCTCTTCCTACATGTCTTTACCTGGGGGTGGAAATAGCCCCTACCTATGGGCAGTCAAACTCAATGCTGCCGGTGACTGTCTAGAGCCGGACATGGCCCTCGACAGAACAGTCACTGGCCCACTTAAGACACGACTTTGTGGCATTAGTTCCAAGGAAAATCTCAGAAAGGGTTGAAAATAGTGACTTCCTGTACTTATGAAGTTGAGATTCTAGTCAAGATGACATAAGGCCCCTCCCAAGTATATGATATTTCCAAACGCCAACCTTATAAAGTAGAAAATGTACTAGCTCTGTCAGCGAGGATGCTTTTGACTGCAAGTCACAAGAACTACCCAGCTCGAACTGGCTTCAATTGTAAGGTTTATTCACTGATACAAAAGAAGTCCCCTGGTACATGACTTCAGGGTTGGCTGGTTAGGCAGCTCAATGATGTCAAAGGGACCCAGGTTCTTTCCCTGTTTTCTCTTTGCCATCAAGCTCCTGATCTGCAGACCAGGTCTCTTCACAGTGCTAAGAAGGCTGCAATTCCAGTGTCAAAAGACACTGGATGTGTTCCTTTCTTCCTTGTTTCTCATTTTAAGAATGAAGAAACTTCCCAGAAGTCCCCAGCAGATTTCCCCTCACACCCCATTGGTTATCACTGTATCACGTGCATGAACCAATAGCCAGCAAGGGGATTGGGGCCAACATGATTTAACCCTGTTTCTTAGGGTTTATTCCTGGAGCTGTGAATAGAGTTACTTTTCCCTGAATCATGGCAGAGGGATGAACTCTCGAAAAAACTTGGGGCAGCAAACAAAAATGGGGAATGGGTATCAACCAAGGTGTCTGCCATACTAGCTATGAGAGCACAAATTTGGAAGCAACTTAAATATCCATCAATAGGGGATGGGTTCTTTTATTTTAAAAAGAAAAAAATGGATAACCAATGTGCCAGGCACTGTCTAGACCCTGCAGAGACAGCAGTGAATAAAACTGCCCTTAATGAGGGGAAGACAGATAGTAAATAAATGAACACGCCTGTGTATTATTGCAAATTAAAATAAGCACAGTTGAAGAAAAAGATCAGGACAACAGAAACAGCCCGGGAAGGCCTCTGTGAGGAGGTGGCATTTCATCGGGAGCTGAGAGGAGTGAGCCATGTTTAAGGGAGTGGAAGAGTACTGTGGCAGAGGCTTCACAGGGGCTCAGAAGCAGGAAAAAGCTTCTTAGCTTGGGGGGGGTGTGGGGTGGGGACAAGATGGGGTGGGCAGATTACACCAGGTCTCGTGGACTTTGGTAAGGAGTTTGACTTTCCTTCTAAATTCAATGGGAAGAAACTGAAGATTCTTAAAATTTTATTTAACAAAAAATTTTTTTATTTTAAAAAATTCTGGGTTTACAGAAGAGTTGTAGAAATAATACAGAGATTTCCTATATTCTCCACCTAGCTTCCCTAATGTGAATGTCTCACATAACCATATATATTTACCAAAACTAGAACGTTAACCTTGGTACAATACTATGCAGACTTTTCAGATTTCACCAGTTTTTTCTACCATGTTGCAATTAGTCATCACATCACCTCAGCCTTTCCTAGTATGACAAT